CCCCCCCCCCCCCCCCGCCGGTCCAGGAGCTCCCCACCTACGCCGGGGACACCACCCACGCCCTCCACCTCCTCCAAAACTATCCAATTCCCTGGCCCCCAACACCTCATCTTCACTATGGACATCCAATCCCTTTACACTTGCATTCCCCATGCAGATGGCCGAAAAACCCTCCACTTCTTCCTCTCCTGCAGGCCCAACCAGTCCCCCTCCACTGGCACCCTCATCCACTTAGCCAAACTCGTCCTTACCCTTAACAACTTCTCCCATTTCCTACAGACTAAGGGGGTGGCCATGGGAACCTGCATGGGCCCAAGCTATGCCTGTCTCTTCGTCCCTCTTCTGCTGCTACACTGCACTATCTCTCACCTCTTCCTCTGCTACATCAATGACTGTATCGGTGCTGCCTCGTGCTCCCACGAGGAGCTTGAACAGTTCATCAACTTTACTAACACCTTTCACCCCAACCTCAAGTTCACCTGGGCCATCTCTGATACCTCTCTCTCTCCTTCCTGGACCCCTCTGTCTCCATCTCTGGTCACCATCTTGAAACTCATATCTGTTTCAAGCCCACTGACTCCCATAGCCTCCTAGGCTACACCTCTCACCACCTTACCACAAGAATGCGATCCCCTACTCTGAATTCTTCTGCCTCCTCCACATGTCCCAAGATGGAGCGTTCCACTCCCGAAAATCCCAGATGTCCTCTTATTTCAAGGACCGCAACTCCCATCCTTCCTCCACCCCCAGGTGGTCGAAAATGCTTTCGACTGCATCTCTTGCATTTCCTGCACCTCTGCCCTCACGTCCTCTCTCCGCAACAAAAACAAAGACAGAATCCCCCTTGTCCTCATGTATCACCTCACTAACCTCCGGATTCAATGTATCATTCTCTGCCACTTCTGCCACCTGCAGTCCGACCCCACAACCAAGGACATATTTCCCTCCCCATCCCTATCTGCCTTCCGTAGGGACTGCTCTCTCCACGACTCCCTTGTCTGCACCACACTCCCCAGTAGCCCCAGCACCTTTCCCTGCAATCGCAGGAAGTGCTACATCTGTCCCTACACCACCAACACCGCCC